AGCAGCAGCAGCAACAGTAGTAGTCGTCGGCGTAGTAGTCGTCGGCGTAGTAGTCGTCGTAGCCGTAATAGTAGGAGGTGCTGCTGCTGCTGCCGCTGCTGCCGCAATATCATCGTGCCAACGAGGAGGTTGGTGGGTCTCCTGCACATGCAGGAGCTGAGGTCTCTGCGCGGTGAGCTGCAGATCCTCGCCCAAGCTGCCATGACGACCTGTTCACAGAGGCAGCGTGGAACCACAGAAAAAGCATCTTTTTTCTCGTTTAGTTGACGTTCGCAGCTTGTTCTGTAGAGATCGATTCTGAAACCGCTGCAGCTCCTGAACCCCCGAACCATTAGGCCAGTTGCTTAAGGTGTTTTCAGAGTTTTCAAAGTCATATTGGCCCTTAAACCAAATCCCCACACAAAAAAACCATGAAGCTCACGCAAACACCTTGAGCCCCCGAAACAGAACTGAGGCCCTAGCGTCCTAAACCCGCATACTTCCCCAGAACCGAAGGCTGCAAGAGGACACCTCTCTGCTTCAGCAACTGGAGGGAACACGCTCAAATCTGCTCCGGCTGTCTGCGGAGCTCCGCTCGGTAGAGGCTGGGAAATCTATGGGCTCTCCAGTGCCAGTAGTTGTGGGCTTCGGGTGCTGTTCTGGGTTGGATCCAGGGCGGGGGAGCGATGATTCTGTAAAGAAGCTCGACCTTTGCCCACCTCCCTAAACGCAGTAAACTCCCCAAGCCCTGAACCCAAACCCAGCTATATTGCTATTATCATTTCGGTTGTATCATCATATTTTCGTTATTGCTGCTATTGCTATTATTCTTCATTGCTTCTTTTCTTTGTATCTTTATTATGACAACTCTTACTACCATCAGTGCTAATTACTATTGCTATGGTCATTAATGTCATTATTGCATTTGCCATTGGTGTTATCATTCTTGTTGTTATTGTGATTAGTATTCGTATTCGATCAGTATATAGCATTCGTAATTAGTGGTATTCCTGTCCGTATTCGTCTTCGTACTAGGAGCAAGTAGGATTGGGATTCGGATTGGGATTAGTGTACGCATTAGTATAAGCATTAGCGCTAGCATTCGTCTTAGTAGGCATTAGCATTAGCATTAGCAGTAGCGTTAGCATGAGCATTGGCATTCGCGTTAGCAGTAGCATCAGCATGAGCATCAGCCAGCATCGGCATCAGCCTTAGTATTAGCATTTGCGCTTGTTGCATTGGCATTAGTCCTTAGTATTGGCATCAACATCAGCTTTAGCATTATGATTATGATTATTCTTTATGTTGTACTTAGGTTGGTTATGAGTATTGTCATCTTTATCGTGATGTTGCTACTCTTGTTTCCATTGGCAAGCCTGGAGGCCCAGAATGACCAGCTCAGGGTCGCAGCTGCGGCTCGCTCCCTCCAACGAGAGGAGCAGAGGGAGCTCCAGGGAAAGGCCGCTATGCTGGCTTGGGGTTTAGGAGTTTAGGGGTTTCAGGGTGTAGGCTTCGGTATTGGCTGCAGGCCTGGGGTGTTGGGGTGCTTGGTGCTCTGAGGAAGACGACGAGGATGGGGCATGTTGGGGGGCACTTAGTGGAGGTCAGCACAGAAACAAGAGGCTGGAGCTTTTGTCGAGGAGCTTGCTGCAGCCCAGGGATACTCGACAAAGGAAAGCTCAGAACCCCTAAGTACCAGGACCTAGCTACTAGGACACTCATTACAAGGACCTTCCTCCCTAAACCCTAAACCCTAAACCCCTACACCCTAAACCCGACACCCCAAAGCTCTGAAACGTAAGCCCTAATTCTTAGAAACCCCTCTCGACTTCCTCCGATTCGAAGGTGGCCGAGCTTCGAAAAGCCCTGGAGAAAGCCACGACGTGCCGGGACACCGGGCTTGTGAATAAGTTGAGGGTTTAGGGTGTAAGGTTTTAGGGGTTCAGGGTTAAGGCTTAAGAGGTTTAGGCTTTGGTTTAGGGCTGAACCTTGGTTTCAGTGGCCGATTTCTGCATCTACAGCAAATCTTCACAGTCTAGTTTCAGCTACCACATATGGATCTCTTGCTTTCCTTAGTGTGCTAAGTTAAGATCCCCGAAACCCTAGACCCTAACCGCGGCTCCAGGACAGGCTGCGGAGGCAGACGTCGGAGCTGGAGGATCAGGCCCACGGGGATTTGGTTTACCGTAGGCTCTGCCCTTGTTTGCGGGTGGCCTGAGAAGTGTAGGGCCTAGGGTTTAGGGGCTTTGTGGGGCTTTGATCAGGGCTGGTTGGCGTTTACGGTTTTCCGGGGCAGATCCTTCAGGTCGTTTGGGGTCTAGGACCAGAGCCCTAAACCCCTAAACCCCTGAACCCCTAAACGCCCTAAACCCCGAGCCCCTAAAGCCCTAAAGCCTAAACCCTAGACCCTAAACCCTAAAGCCTGAGCCCCTGACTCCTGTAAGTCGAAGCTTCCGGAGTTCCCGTGCCCGAGGCGGCCACTCAGCGTCGACTGGCGCGAGCCTACGAGGCCCAGTCCCATGGGAACATCCAGGGTATCTCTGTCGGAGGTCGGGCTGTCGTAAATATTAATATAATTATTACAGTAGCTAGTTATCGTATAACAATAGCAATAATAAAGGCAACAATGACAATAACAATAAGAAAAATCATCATAAAAAAAATAATAGTAATAATAATAGCAGTAATGTTGACCTGTGGTCTGACCGCAGTCTCTTCCTAGGCGAGCGGCCCGATCGCTGGTTAAGAGAATCCAAGAGCAGCCCGGACATGGCATATGGGAGGTTCCGAAAATAAGGGGTACCTAATTTTGGGGTCCTTGTAATAAGGATCCTACTATTTAGGGTACTTTATTGACAACTGCGCGAAGACATGGGTTGAAGCGTCGATGGGTTGGGTTTAGGTTTTGGGGCTGAAGGTTGGGGTTGTTGCAGGCCTAGGCAGGGTTGCCTTTCTTCGCACAGGAAATGTTGTTCTTGTTCCTTTTTCACGATGGTTGCTTCTGAAGCGTATAGATCCTCCTGCCAGCATGGATCGGGCTTCCAGTCCTCAGCTTCGCCGCTGCATCGCGCGGTGTCAGCCCAAAACTTATCAGCCCTCAACCTGCAACTTAAACCCGAGAGACAGAAGCCAACGCTGCGAGCCGACAGGAGGGGGCCCAGGAGCTCAGGACCGAGTTGCGACATGCAATGCGTCACCTGAAGGCTCAGCACAAGGGCCAGGGCCGTGGTTGAGGCTAGGGTGATTTGACGCATGTTTGGGCGAAGTGCAGGGTCTTCCTTACAACAGACGACGCCCTTGGAAAGCAAGTGGAGGAAGATCCCCAGCAGCCTCAAAGGTGTTGGAAGCCCTGCACATGAAGGGCAAAGCAATTGTGTTGTCACGAGCAGGCCAGGCAAGAGCATTCCTGCGCGGAGGACACTCTGGTTGCGGAATGTTGGGGCACCATCATCTTTATCGTCGTCATCATTGTGATCTCGTCATCCTCATCCTCATCCTAGTTCCCATCCTCATCCTCGTCCTCATCCTCCTCATCATCGTCATCCTCATACTCACCACCATCATCATCATCGTCATCATAATCTTCTTCTTCTTCTTCATCATCATCATCATCACCATCGCCATCAGCATTCCGCGTTTGCATGTTGCAGGCTAGCAGTCAAGATAATGGCGACGACGAATAATATGTCGATTGTGCTAGCCAGGATGCTGGTGATGACTTGATGATAATGATCTTTTTGGCTCTTGCTGCTATTGACGAGATGCAGAAGAAGAAGAAGAAGCATAATTTCTTTATCACTATGAGGCCACATGATGACGACGACGATGGCGACTTGTGTTGTCAGCCGTATACTAGGGGCTGCGTCTCTTCTTCTGTGATAGCATAGAGGGCCGCAGCTTTACAAGGACAGGCATGGAGCCGTGCCAGGAGTCGCAGAGCAGCGCTGCCAGCTCGTGCTTGCGGGACGGATCTGAGATCTGGGAGCCGTTGCTTGAAGGCTGCACCGGGCATCGGTTTCCATTCCCTGCCCTGCGGACTTCGGCCTTGGCAGGCGACCCTATGGATGGGACCTGGAGGCCGGGGGGACCTGTGAAACTTTGAGGCACGAAATTGCTGCCATTTCTGCACCAGGCGGCGTTCCAGTTCCTTGCGGAAGCAACGTGCGGAGATGCCTTGGAGCATGGACCAGACCTGGCGGTTCAAATGACCCGACCTGGCCTCTGCCCCAAAGTTGGGTTCGGCTGTCGGAAATTGCGGGGCTGCCCAGACGTGTACAGGGGCAGCGCGCGTTTGGAATTGCTCGACTCCGTAGGCAAGTGCGAGTGACCCCGGAGAGCGAAAAGCTGGAAAGGAGGTAGGGCCCAGGGTGCTGTCTGGTGCTCTGATAGTTACTGTTCAGCGCCGCGATGTGTTGCTTGTGCTGACTTGGCTCCAGCTATTGTAGCTTGCCTGGGTTTCTACTGCTTCTGTCGTTGTCGCTTGACAGCAAGCTTCCTAGTGCGTGCCATCGAAGCTCCGGACCTGAAGCACTCTCGCAAGCAAACATCCCTCAGCTTCCCTCCACCCGGTGCCTCGCTCTCCAAGAAAAGCTTGACCATACTGAATGCTGGTAATGCGAAGATTGAGGACTTCTAAGAACGGTGGTGACGGTGATGATGATGATGATGCTGATGATGCTGATTCTGATGATGCTGCTCGACGTACCCTCGTCCTCGTCCTCGTCGTCGTGGTCGTCGTTCTCGTCGTCGTCGTCGTCGTCGTCGTCGTCGTCGGTTGTGGTCGTCGCACACCGTCGTATGTATGTCATGTCGAGGAGCAAAACCAGTGGCCGTGTCATTGGTGATGGTCGTGCGGAAGTGGCGTTGGTGATTGTCGTGGCAGTAGTAGTCGTCGCAGTCACAGTAGCAATAGCACAAGCAGTAGTAGCAGCAGCAGCAGCAGGAGGAGCAGCAGCAGCAGCTGCTTCTGCCTCATAAAAAGGGGACTGATGTTAGACGTAGGAAGCCTTGTTTACTTCACATGAATAGTGACACCCAGGGCCACATGTAAGCAGTATTGTATTGACGGTGGCAGTCTTCAACAACGTTGATGATACCCACAGTAGTAGCAACGATAATGATGCTAGTCCTAGGGGTCGCGACTACACTGACTACAGTGACTACAAACACTATCATAACAACAGCAGCCGATATCCTGCCTGTCTTTTCCCAGGCGCCCGGCTCCTTGCGGAGATTCTCTGCCTCGGGAGGCTATCGAGGTGGGCTTCGCCAAATAAGCCAAAGAGTTTGGGATGTGGTGTCTTTAGCCAGGGAAGCAAGAGAACCGGACAGGCAGGAGCACAACTTAATGATGGGCGATCATACGCAGAGAGATTGAAAAAGGTAAAGGAATCAGCCCAAGTTAAAGCGTCTAAGGCTTCAGGGTTTGTTGAACCATTCCCCCAAGACTCCGAAGCCCTCAGCGCCATGTGCAGGTTCGCACCTCGGGCCGCGAGGCACCGGCCCAAGCGGTCACAAGGGACTTAAGCTGCTTCTTATTCTTTTTTCAAGTGTGGTCATTGCAGCTTAGCTGTTTAGCTCTCCTTGAACCAGTCTTTTCTTCCATCCCTGTTTTTTTTTTTTTTTTTTTTTTTTTTCT